GCTCCTCCTGTGGGATCCCTGTCCCTCCAGCCAGCTCCCTCTCTCGGGGTCTTCTGTCAGTTAGACATGTCTTGAAAACCTCCGCGGTGAGACGCCCCGGAGGCATCCCAGTCAGATGCTTGAATCACCTCAGCTGACTCGTTTTCACACAAAGACGCAGCGACTTCACTGCAGGATGTCCAAGCCCCTGACCTTATCTCTGAGGCTGAGCCACCCTATTGAAGAAAATCATTTCGAACACAAGTATCCGTGACCTTATTCTTTCGGTCACCACATCCACAGGTGAGGGCTGGACGAAGACCTTCTGGTAGATCAAGAGCTGAGATGAAAGGCCTTCTTCACCGTGACGGTCCAGTGCAACGCTAGATGAACTCTGGTGCTCTGATCTAAATATCAGTATGCTCATGTGCTCACGGTGACGACAGTGAGCTGCTGATGGTGGTGTAAGATCAAAACATGAAGAACAACGTGTTTCTCTTCAAGCCACATGTCAGCTTCATGGCGACCGCAGAGAAAATAAAAAATCTGTCAGTCAATAAAGTAATCGGGATACGTTGTCTGGGAACCACCAATGTCTGTCCAGAAACTGCATCTGTTCAGAATCATCCCTCCACAGTCGCTGAGATGTTTCAGTCTGGACCAGAACGATGCTCCCTGAATTGCCATGCCGTTCTGCAGGAACTGCTCTAACCACTGCCGCACTCCCTCTCAAACGTGCCATTTCAGCCTTTAGAGAAAATGATCTGTAATGCGTTGGTAGATTTCTGTCTCCACCGAGCTACAGCCGATGAGCTCTGTCACAGCAGTCCTGCATGAACGCCAACCGCCAAGAAGGTGCAGATGTACAGGTTTAGTTGTGGTCGTTGGCTGATGAATCTTCTGCACTGCATTCGATAAGTTATACGTAATTATCTGCCCACTGAGGGTCCGTTTTAGGAGCAAGTACTGGAACACTAGTTTCAGAAGAACGCCCTTTATCAGCCACTAGATATCTATTATCGCCTGTTACCTTCTCAGCACTGAACAGGCACATGAACCTGTCTGTGTCTTCTTTGCTTCTAGTTCAGGTCATTGTTACGTTTTAATTCCCATTAATATGAGATCTACCTTTGTTTCCGCAGACGGCTGTAATTTACTCACTCAGGCGTTTAGGATTCAGCTCTTGAACAAGTTTCTTTGCTGTTAACTGCTCTCCCACACATGACCTTCACATGTGGAGATGATTGTAGAGAAACGAGGAAGCGTGTTTACATTCAGACACAAAGCCCTCTGGGAGATGCAGAACTTGTGATTCTTGTTTTCTGGGGAAGGTCACAAAAGTCTGCAGATGGAGGAGGGCGGTGCTGATCGACGGGTCAACAGAACATCTGTCCGTCAGCTTCAAGTTTTTT